TTACCGAAGTTCGACATATTTTACAGAAAATATGCTGAGCTTTTACTATTACAATCAAAGAACCTGAGTGCGAAGATTTTGCAAAAAATCACGCTTTTGCCGCAATCGCAGGAGACGATGATGATGTCTACACAATAGTGGGATATATTTAACATTTTTCTGTGATCAGAGAGGATGATGATGTTTCTGTGACAGTGGAATACGATTATGATGTCTTCAAGATCGCGTAAGATGTGCAAGATTTTGCCGCGATCGCAAAAAATGATGACGATGTTTCCGTGACCACGGGAGACAATGATGAAGTCTACATGACCGTGGGAGAGGTTTTGGATTTTGCCACGATCACAGCTTCTACCTTCTTTAATAATAATTAATAATTCTTTAATAATTTAATAATAATCCCTATTACTGTGGTTTTAAGTTTTTTGAAATTCTTTCTGTAAGTGATTCGGATAATTGGCGATCCGAATAGTTGGAGTTTGAATAATTTGATGTGTGCAGTATTAGGCTAATGAGTGTCAACATTTTTTTTTAAACTGTTGACCATACTTGTGGTAAGCCTAATTATTTTTGCAACAAAAAAGGAAATTAATTGCCCTTGTACAATCTGTCAAAAGTAGGGGAATGTATAAAATTTCAAATAACTATTAGAATTCCAAGATATAAAAACCTAAAAAATAGTTCTTTACTTAACAAAGTTAAAAGAAGTACAAAAATTAGTTATTTTTTTATTCCATCTGATATCAAAGAAAATAACTGTTTCTCAAGCTCTAATTTAGAGCAATCATCCCCCCTGCTCTAAATTAGCCTTTCCTAGCTCTCAACCAGTTGTTCTCCATTTGCCCATTAGTGATTCCTTACCATTGATTTTTATCACTTAAAACAGCTGTTTTAACAAATTTCCCATATATAGGGAATATGCTCGAGCAATTATGATCCGATTTTGATGAAATTTGGTACAAAAGTGTAAATCTACAATCATTTAAATGAGTTTGGGAATCAGCATGATTAGACTATGGGCATGGGGGTTTATGGGGTAAACATTTGTTTTCCCATTTTTGACCCTGGAAACAAACAAAAATTGCAATTTCTTTCCATACCATTTTGTAGAGCTAAAAAACAAATAATTTAGTGTATTGAAGCGTTGTTATGTGCTTTCTGGTTAAATATAAAAAAAACTGTAAATTTAAAATTCTCATGTTATTCCTATGGAAAATAAAATAAGTAAACTGTAGTTTGTTATTTTATGTTGTTTGTTGTTGTTCCGGATCGGTATGACATACAATAAAAGGTCAAATTACCTGTGTCCGCCAGTCGATCCTTATGTGCTGTATCCTATTACAGGAGATGCATTTCGGCAGAATAAATTGCCATCATCAGTCCTAATATAAGATCTTGATCTTCCCCATTGGGTGCGTCTTGAAGTTTTTAAACACGTACACGAACTTTACACTTATATATATACATTACGAATGAAACATACAAATACACGGTAGGCCTACTTTTATTTTCGGACATGTAGACGCGCGTCGGTCGTGTGTCGAGTCTAGTATTAACTAAAATAAAAGTAGGCCTACCGTGTATTTGTATGTTTTATTCGTAATGTATATAAGTGTAAAGTTCGTGTACGTGTTTCGAAATTTCAAGACGCACCCAATGGGGAAGATCAAGATCTTATATTAGGACTGATGATGGCAATTAATTTTGTCGAAATGCATCTCCTGTAATAGGATACAGCACATAAGGATCGACTGGTGGACACAGGTAATTTAACCTTTTATTGTAGTTTATTAGTTTGGGAACATATTTTGATCAAATTTGGAAAATTTATTTCTTACTGAGTTATTAAAATTTCACTAAAAACACTTTACCAGAACTACTTTTCCTTTACCAGAACAGAAACCTAAGTTCATTAGATCTAATGTTATTTAAGGGGAGGTCCCACTGAAAACTCTAAATTCTTAACTATGTATTATTTTGAGTAATTTTAATTTTCATTATCAATAATTAATTACTCTACCTGAAACAATGTAACCATTTTTGACCACTTGTAAACCACCCCCCCCCCCCCTCCACCCACCAATGTTTACGAAATTTGTAGGCTTTCACAAGATTCGCTAAGGCTTTGTAACTACAGGTAGTAGATACATGATTGAAGTGTCATTTGAAAGAGTATACTACCGCAAAAAAAGTTATGCATTGGTTTGCAATTATCTCTTCAGAAATTATCTGTACAATTCCTCAAAATATAATAAAATTTGAAATGTTTCCATAATTCTTTGTTTGAAGTTCATTGTTGGTGATGGTGAGTTAATGTTGTTCAAAGGTTTATTGCGGACATTTTCCATCACGAATGTAAAAAACAATACACAACGTTTCCATAATATTACAAAAAAGTTTAAATAATGAAAACTACTGCAGATAAATGAAAGACCATGCATAACTTTGTCCCTTTATATGTAAAGAGCAAGCATGCAAAGTTTGACTGCTGTATCTTTAATACTTTTTGAGCCTTAGCATTTTTAGTAGATTTTTTAGTTTTTTTACTATTTTCAGTGGGGATTTTTTGCACTATTTTCCCTTAAATAGGGAATAAATCTTAAAAAATTTTAAGGAGGTATTTTAGTAGAAAAATAATCAGGCGAATGAAAATTTGCATAGTCTGCAGGTTTGCTGCGGCAGGGGAGCAATATAAATTTAAACAGAAATAGGCTTATGCTAGTTTTTGGATGGGGTCTGTGAAGAGGGATTCACAGTGACCTTGCTAGATTATAACTAGTGACTCAAACCCTCTAATGGCTGAAACTTGCACTCCGGTACTTCAGTGTGTTGTCTAGGCGTGATCTTTGTAGGATTACGTGACTCTTACATGTTTATTATGTGAGTCGGTGGCTCAGTCGGTAGCGTCGCAGACTTCGGGCCCAAGGCAGCGATGTCGTTGGTTCAGATCCTGGTCACTGCCACTAAAATTTATCTGTACAGTTCACCTATGTACTGTACCGGCTCACTCTTTGCTTTGCTGTAAACGATCCACGCACGGGCGCTTAGTCTATGTGGACGGGAAAATGCAAGGTTAAAAGAGGCCACCAACCTCTTTAAAAAAAAAAAAAAAATACTACGCCCAGTCCATTATTTTCTCCCAATTTGACAACCAAGAGTTTGTTTGAAAAAAAGCTAACACTTTGGGATGGTAAAAATTCTTCCCTACAGTACTGTTTCAGTTTTCCCGTCTTTGAAGACTCGTCGTCCCTTTGACAACCTAAATCGCTCACTCGGGTTGGGAACCATTGCGCTAAATACATATGATTTGAGGGGCATAATATAAAAATGTGGTGGGAGGTGTTCTAGTCCCTTCAGTGAATGAAGGCCTAATACTATCGTACATTTGCAGACATCAGCACCATCCTTCAGGGCTTGGTACTTTTAGGAACTTACAGAAAGCAAAGTGTAAAATAGATCACATTTATAAACGTGTCTACATCTAAAAATAATGACTGAAAAAGTTAATACCATAACAAATGGGGGATGCGGGATACTACCCACCAAAAAAATACCTCTCCCCCCAGGTGAAGTGACGTCACGAAATCTGCCAACTAACCAATATGGGAGCTGAGGCTGCGACTGGAATACTACCCCCTAGCAAAATATGATGCTATGTAATTGTAATTATATTTAAAGTAATTCCGTTTGATAACAGAAATGGTATGTGGGGAATATCAAACAGAATTTTGAAATTTTACTCCAAGTTTGGTTGGTTAGGTTAGGTTAGTTTGGAACAGTTTGACGACAAAACTTAAGTGTCCGTGACTGGAAAACTGCCCCCCCCCCACCCCCCGATCTCTGACGTCAACATGATGTAGGACCTGCTTGGGGGGGTAGTTGTCCAGGGGGCAGTCTTCAGGTGACCCAACAAATGTTTATGATAACTTTTGAATAGCTATATCACATTGTGCTCTGGTACAGAACCACGATAGGACTTTGTTGTAGTTTCAAAGTCCTAGAACCCAAATGCTGTCAGACAGGGCTATAATTTTTTTAAGTACTCGCTCAGACATTTATTGCTAAAGGACGTGATAAATGTATGAATTTTTATATTACTTTTTGAGATGTGCAACATTCTTGACCAAGTCAGATGAAGTATGTCTCCATACATTTATGATTAGCACTTCATCTGTTTCATGTTTTAGATGTGTCACAACTTTATCGGACATGTTTCCTGGTGCAACATCTCCTTCACGCGTCAGTCATAATTAATATCGATGTTGAGTAATGATTTAGCAAAGTAGTTCAAGTCATTCCTAAAATTTATGTTATAATCAAGTAAAATTATTGCGTATTAATTATCTTGGTATTTATTGAAAATGATGTTCTCTATTGTTTCATTTCAAAATATTATTGCATTACCATTTTTAATGGTATTTTAAATAGAATTAAAAAAATACATACAGCTATGCACATAGTACTTAATAAAAAAAAAATCATCAGATTTGTGATGGGAAATACTTTCATGCCCCACACACACTAACCTGTGGTTATTGGTAGGCCTAGTTAAGCTTATTTTTTTGTAGACCACTGTTTATTTAATAATTAAATATTTTAGGTAAAAAATGCTCATTAACAACACAAATATTTGACCTTGATATTAAACCTTACTATGTTTATAATTTACTAATTTTTAAAAATTTTATTTTGCCACTGGTAACATTGAAACATTGCTAAAATGTTGTATCGAAGTGTATTTTATGTACAGGGTTAGTTCTAAACAATGTTCATTCCATTTCCTTTAATATTATTATGTTTAGTCAAATTAAGAAGCCATTTAAATCTAAGTAATGATTTATGATTTAACTGCTACATTGTAATATGCAGTTGAAATGTGTTAATATTTTATGAAGATAATAATGTTTGATCCTAAATTTTACTTGTTATCTATTTTCTGGGCAGTTATGAACTATCAAGTATTGCGATTGTTTTTCAGCAGTTTTCTCTTGATGTTTTAGACCCTTGAACCCTCTTGGAAACCGGCAGGAAATTAGTCAGGCTTTGGCGTACATTAGAACTCATTTTCAGCCTGATCCTGAAGTTTCACTTCCCAAAAAAGAAGTCTACAATGAATATGTGTGAGTATTTATCAATTACATGCTGAAATCTAAGATTTTTCTCCCATTAATATTAATTAGGTAGCCAGTGATATCTTCGATAGAATTGCATAGGCCTACAGTTATTGGATCGATACACAAAATCATTTGATAACAACATAGACGGTTTAACCTTTAAAGACGACACAGATATTAGACTGGTCATATAAAAGACTTGGATTCTTGATGTGATAAAAAAAAATAAAAGTGAAGTGTAATCACACCAGGGTTGCCACCCGTCCCGATTCTGTCGGGACAGTCCCGATTTCGGTTCCTTAATACCCGTATTTAAGCCTTTGTTCCGGGTAGAGGGGGGCCATGTCCCGATTTTCCAACAACCTAAGGTGGAAACCCTGAATCACACACTATCAATTTAACATTCTACTGGGCAACTAAAATCAACCTCCAAACATGGATACCAAAAGTTTCCATCTTGTATGGCTTAGATGTATTCAGTTTGTGTATAAATTACAACATAGTTTAATGAACCTCACATAGAGTGTAATATTTTTAATTTTTTTTTAGATTGTCAGACAATGATAGCTTTTAGGGATACAAAAGATGTTATAGCATGTTATAACATTGTTATAATGTAATATAATTATAACAATGTTATAATAATATGTCCTTTCAATTTGACAGGATCAAATAAACGTTATTTCTTGTCAGATAAATCTGTTGGTGGGATCAACAAGTTGTTTTTATTCTAAAACTGAGTTGAACTTAAGCATAGGAATTGCATACCTATCTATTCACAGTAACGTATGTATAAAAATACTCCCGCCGCCTCAGCAAACCTGCCGACTAAGCGAATTTCCATTTGTCTGAATTTATTTTGAATTAAATCTATTTAAATAACATTAGGTTTAACAAGTACCAAGGTTTGCTGCTACAAGGAAACTAATAAAGTGTGTTTTTAGTAAAATAATTATAGCTTTGTATAAAATAAATAAATTTGCCAAATTTGATCAAAATATATCCATAAACAAGCAAACTACTACATTTTACAATATTCTCCATAAGAATAACATAGGAATTTTAAATTTACAATTTTTTAAATTTTCTCTGTCACCAATAACCTTAAAAAACCTTTCATATTCTAAATTATTTTTTTTAAGCTCTTAAAAAAATTCTGGAGAGAAATTGAGAAATTTTGTGTTTAGAGGGTCAAAAATTAGAAAAACCAATTTTCACCCCATAAAACCCCTTGTAAAACTTCGTTCCCAAGGTCCGATAGGCCCTAATGCTGGTTCGCAAACTCATTCAAATTTATCCCGCTTTCTTTAAACCAAATTTAATCAAAATCGGAGAAAAATTACTCAAGTTATCGCGTTTACGGACACATATATAAATATACATATATAAAAATTTGAACTGGTGTTTTTGGCCTCTGTAAAGGGACATCAAAATGAAAAAGTAAATCGGTCCCGGGCCTAGGTCTTACCGTGCCACCTACGGTAATAGCTACTTCCCTATAGGGAAATTCATTCCCTAACAAGTTCAAGTCAGATTGGTATCTATAAAGATTAGGCAGTCTGATTATGTATGGGGAGCTTTAAATATTGATCATAAAATCAGGCCCGAATTGAGGATGAATGGCCCCTGCGCTGCCGCCCCACCTCTGATGGAAGTCTAGGGACAGAGGGTATGGAATGCTTCCCTGCAGGAAGGTGGTCTGGGGCCCCCCGTACTAGTAGCTCAAAACAAAGTTTAAGGATTGGAGGTTAAAATACTTTACTTTTGGAAATTTGGCACTATGGGCTATAACCCAGTCAGCTCATTTTCCGAGTGGGGCCTGCATAAAAGTGTACCTTGATCAACTCAAATTCGAATGGTAAACTTAAGGTACAATACTATGTATAAAAAATAACCACACAACTTTAAGTAAGATGTTTATTGTAGATCAGAAATGTAGTTTAGATAATTAAATGATCGGTTTGCTTACAGGTCTTTCTGTTCGAGCCAGAGCATGAAACCATTGTCAACAGCTGATTTTGGGAAAGCTATGAAGCAAGTGTATCCTGTTGTTAGACCACGAAGATTAGGTGAACGGGGAAACTCCCGTTACTGCTATTCTGGTTTGTGCAACAGGAATGAACTGGAAAAGCCAAGAACTCCAGCTACTGCCCTGGTGTGTAGTGATCTTTTTAAAATTCATTAGGGTTGTATTATAGTTAACGCTTAAGGTTTTAAATTCAGAAATAAGCTTGCTGTCACCTCGTTCATGGCAAAGGTTAAAATACAACTTGAACATATTGAAATGAGTGTAAATTAAAAATTGTTACAATTGACGTTCTAGCTCCCAAGCAAGATGAACATAACCAAGATTTCACATAACACATAACTCAAAATGCTGATAGCTTACATGTTTTGCAACATGGGAGTCAAGTTTAGAACCACTATGCTGTTAGTGTTTATTTTATTTACTAAAACAGTTCAGGGTGTCCCAGAACGCTCTACCAATATTTCATGGTATTGTTCCTGGGTAAGAACCATATCTAAATATCATATTAATTGTCCGGAAGTCCTTAGCTACACAGCTGCCATTTTGTTTTTTAACTTATTAATTTTTTTCTAAAAAACTTGTTAATATACGAAATTGAAACTTTGCACAAACATTTATGACAACTAGACAAAGTTACAAAAAAATTATGACAATTTACAAAATTCATAAAACAAAACGGTGGCCTTTTACAATATTGTTTCTTAAATAACTAAAAAACCGTTGATTTTACAAAAATGTTACAAGAATGACTTTTTTAAGGCAACTTAATTACAAATCAATTGACACCTTATTTTTTTTAGATTGGACGAATATTAACTGAGATATGGCAGCTTAAATGATATGTGACCGCTGGAGGTTAGTTGCAGTGCAGTTGTTTGCATTCAGATATGATACTTACCCAGGAACAATACTATAAAATATTGGTAGAGAGTTCCGGGACACCCTTCACTTTGTCTAGGTTTACTAGTGGGCTATTGATAGTGTGACAGACCGTTAGGTGTTCTTATTGGTGGAGTGGTCATTGTTGATTACTGCACACCTCTTAAAATACGAATTTCAATAATTCGATCCACATAAGCCGTCCAATATTTTTGTCTTAAACATTGGCTTGAAGGAAGTCAACATGCAATTGACTTTTGAGTAATATTGAAGATTCAATCAAATGGTCAAATCAAATTGAAATCTCTTAATTCGTTTTGTATATACACACAAGAATAGTGTCATAAAATAGAAAACAAAAAACTTCTACTACAACTATTTTTTATGAGTAACTGGCTCAAAATTGTGCTAAAATACATCATTCTTTTATTTATTCTGTAAACAGTCTTCTGTAGAGTAACAACTTTTCTTTACTAAAAAATTGTTTGCATTATTTCTGAAATGTTTTTGTCCATAGGCTTTAAGTGGTAGTGGTAAATTATCTAAAACCTTGGATCCTTTGTGGGTTGCTTTTATTCCATAGGTAAAATGTTTAATTATGTTGGGATAAGTTTATTGCCTCTCTGTTTCTTGTAAAGTAGGAATAAAAATAGAGAAAATGATTGTTTTACTGAATCTTCTTCATCTAGGTTTAGAATAATTCTTATAACCTTCTTTTGAAGTATCAAAATTTTGTCCAGATTTTGTTCTGACATTCCCTCATATGTTGCCAAACCATATGAGAATGAATGTGTGCAAGTATAGGCTATACATTTTATGGTTTCAATAATGCATAGCATAGACATGACATTCTTTTAGAATAAAAATAAGCCAGATGAAATTTTGTTTAGTACAATTTGAACATGTTAGTCCCAACTTGAGTGGCAGTCAATGTTTAAGCCTAAGAATTTTGCTATACCAAATTTATTAACTTAATTTTGTTCTATTGATATGGCTGTATTAGGTCTTTCTTTGTTCTGAACTGTTGAAAAGTAGCCTACATAAGATTAGTTTTATTGGAATCCAAAAATAAACTATTCCTCCTCAAATAAGACTGAATACTTTTTAGTTGCTATAAAATATTAAACTATGGGTATAAAATTATATCTACAACTTGGTTCCGTTTCTAAGGAAATATTTATAATCTTACTTCAACTTCAATTTTCAAAAATGATATTTTAGAACTGTTTTCTCGATAGGCTAGAGATGCTGTGTCGAGGAAGATTTGTATTTGGGCGTCAAAAATCTTGAATATCGAAGTTAACAACTTAACACAACTCAGCACCATGGTGTCTTCTGAGTTAACAGGTTTGTATGATTACATCTAGAACATTTCATTAGTGATGGACGGATCCAAGAAAATGTCGGTACCGGATCCGGATCCAGATCTTTAAAACCGAATCCAGATACGTTTTTTTTTCAAGGACGGGTTTTTAAAAATAACTCATATGGCTAGGAAATGTCAAAGACTATCTGTGTCCATTCAAGACTATCTGTGTCCATGTACAAGACTGTCTGTGTCCATATACAAGACTGTGTCCATATACAAGACTATCTGTGTCCATATACAAGACTGTCTGTGTCCATATACAAGACTATCTGTGTCCATGTACAAGACTTTCTGTGTCCATATACAAGACTGTCTGTGTCCATGTACAAGACTGTCTGTGTCCATGTACAAGACTATCTGTGTCCATATACAAAACTTGCTGTGTCCATATACAAGACTGTCTGTGTCCATATACAAGACTGTCTGTGTCCATATACAAGACTGTCTGTGTCCATGTACAGGACTATCTTTGGACACAGATTGTCGTGTACATAGATACAAAGAGTCTTGTACAATGTACATGGACACAGATAGTTTTGTACATGGATGCAGATAGTCTTTTACATGGACACAGATAGGTAGTATTAATTTTGTTTTAAAATACTTGACTATGACAAAACATTTGTTCTTATGTATGAATTTTACTTTGTTTATATACAATACTTTGCAACTTTATAAAGGATGTAGAATAAAAAACTAGGCCTAACGATAGGTTATATTGGCCAGAAAAAGGGGTAGGATTAAAAACCACTTTTGAGTTGTGTGATAACCTTTTTTTTTCTATTGATTTTTCGGTACCTGAAATCAATGCTCGGTACAACCGGTTTTTTAATAAAGTAAAGCATGTTGAAGAAACAGTACCGGTACTTAAGTATGAACATTGGCATGCCTAATGGTGACAGAGAATGGTAACGGAGGAGGCAAAAGAAAGGTGTTTTGGACTAGATATTGTATTTTCATTAACATCATCCTCACGAGTTTCATTTAGTTGTGTGTTTCTCACTGTATACTATACATGATAAAATAAAAAAAAATAATTATCATACCCTAGGGATGGGTCGGTTGTTAAGGTCAGTTGTTGGTTTTACTGGTTTTTAGAAGGAAAAAACAGAATTGACATAAAATGTCGAGGTTTATTGGTTATTGTGTAATCATTTTGCCGGCATCAAGGTAGTTGGTTAGGAGGACACAAAAGGTTTACCAGATGCTTGTTTACGACTTTATTTATTTATTACTATGTAATGAGACCATGAAAAACCCATTAGCAGTCCCTAAACCCACTAATATTTTATCATGACAATAATCATTTTGTCACTATGTCAAGTTAAGTGTTTCCAAGAAATCGTGAGTCAATAGCTCATCAAAGTTTTATGACTTTGATTGTTACTCACATTTATTCCTTCACGATATCCATTATTGAGTGGTTATGAAAACCAATATAATAGCCCTCACATGAAGTAATTTACAGTTTTAATTTTTTAAACATGCGTACTACTGTACCTTTAAATTAGTAGGGAGAAAAATTTAAGGGAGAAAACCAAACCGAAACAGAACCGATAAAATTAGCAACTGACCCATCACTTATCATACTTTATTAATATTATCTTTATAGGTGGGTCACAAGCAAAATTCTAAGAAGGTTGGTCGGTCACTAGACCAAAAAGTTTTACCTCTGGTATAGAGAACCAACGATCAATTAAAAGTGATGGATGATTTTATTACATATAAAATGGAATTGCAGTCCATACGTCCAGACACAAATTATATAGGCTAATGAAAGATCTATACAAATGTGTTGTTGAGAAAATGTAATTAATTATGTTTGTTTGTTGCATGTAATACTTCTTTGGTTTATCATCTTAAATTTATCCAGTAGGTAATAACAGCTGACCAACAATATTGTAATGCTTGATAGCTGTTGGTGTTTATTTCAGGAGATGATACTGGGGAAAAATTGCATATTGAGGTCCCTTCAGTGATTGGAGGGAAGAAAAGGAAAATTAAGGTAAATAGACGGATGATACAGTTTAACTATTAAACTTATGTTAAACTATAGAAAAAATTACATTGCCCAGCTTAATATGAACTGTTGATGACAATTTGAGATGTGAATACTTGAAACCCTCTCCTAACTGATAGACATTATGGTAGATAATTTATTTCACAATACAATACGTAATAAGTGTAACTAACGTTTTAAAATCTGGGAACTGGTTTAAAGTATGCTATTAAATACTATGTACTTCTACTAAATTTGTATAACTTATTGGTTTTATTTCCTTTTTAAGTAACATTCATATATGTTAAGTAAATTTAAACAATCATTCTGTTTCAGTCGGAGATTGCTCAAAGCGAAAAATCAAGAACATGTAAGCAAAGCAAAACCAATGATCAACTTATCAAGGGGCTGAGAACTAACTGTTTAAAGCCCTTAGTTGGAACCTCAAGTGCTCAAAGCCTCATAGGCAAAGCAGAGGCCGTTGCTATTGCAGGGCCGAGCAATATCTGTGATAACATTAACCAAAAGCAGATTGATGTTGAACTGTTAAAAATGAAACCTTTAGCTATTAATAATCTCGATCTCAAACCTGAAAAGAGTACAAACTTAGGCAGAAAGAAAAGTACTGACAACAACAAACGATCTTCTGTGAAACGATCACAAAGGGGGAAGAAGAAAAGTGTTGAAGCGTCGTCAACTGGCAAGAATAACACAATCTCCATGAAGGAAAACAAGTGTACCTTTTATATTGAAAATGTCTTTACCATAGCTTCAATTGAAGACGATCCCATAATAGAACCACAGACTGATTTAGAAGGAAGTTCTAATTTATCTGGTGATTTCTCTAAAAGTGATGTTGCACTTGGTGAAAAGAAAAATTTGGGTTTTCATTCCAATAATATTAAAGTTCTTACAGATACTTGCAAGAAGTATAAATGTGATCAAAGTGATGATTATAATGACTTAGGATATCTGACATCTACAACAGAGAGCTTAGCTCACTACTTACAAGACGAGGGAAACTCTCAGGAACCCGAGGAAGAATTACTTAAATATTTTAAAGACCCGATAAAGTCTGTGTCAAGTAGTTACAACATGAAAGACACTTGCCAGCTAAGGTTAGTGCTTGGACAAAATGTGCAAGAAGACACTGATTTGATGTGTGATGGACAACTTTCAGAAAGAGATACTGGATTCTGCGAGCAAAACTCGATAGAAATAAAAGAGGACGATATCAGTTTGAAAAACCACCTTACATCATCACCTCAAGAGTCCCCTCTTAAGTCATTTATACCCACACTTCATAGCAGTGCCGCCAAAAGAAGAGTCAGTTTTGAAAACATTCCAGATTCATTCCCTCAAAGCCCGAGTACATGTATTAAAAATTTTAGTTTTACTCCAATATCCCCCAGGCCAGCTACTGTATCTAAATCGACTGTTAATATCAACCCTTTTGTTTTTCCCCGTGAAACTGTTTTTCGAGGTAAGCTCTCTACAGCCAACAATGGGAACCATCAAAACCACAACCCCAGTCCAGTATCAAGAGTTCATGTGTCCCCTCACAAAGGCTCGTTCCGATCCACTTCTTTATCTAGTACTCCTTCTCCGATCGCCAGTGGCCGATCCTCCTCCAGTGCTATAATGAAAGGGCGATGCACTCCTCAGGACCTAATTGTAGAACACTCAGATTCTTTTAAATCGAGCCCTCTTATCTCTCCGAGTTCTTCATCAGGAGTTTTTCTCTCTCCAGCCTCCCCAATATCTTCATGTAACTCCCCGGTGTTTGTTTTTAGGAAAAACATGTCCCCCGTCAAGCAAGGGGATGACTCAAAATCTTACGCAAAATCCAATTCCCTTCTTCAGACCCTTTTGTTGACTGGAAAATGCCCTGAAACTAAATATTCAAATGTTCAAAAAGGAATTGAACCTTTGGCAGTAGATGTTCAATTTCAAACTTCTAATGAACAAACTCCTTTTGCTTTTAGATCTCACTCTGTGCCTGCATTGACTACTGATATTCATGTTTCACCTTCTTCCAACACTCTTCCATTTCCTGATTCCATGTTTAAGGATAAAGAAACTCCCGCCTTTTTAGAAATTAAACCAAATGATATTGATGTTCTGGATACTGTTTTAAGAAGTAACAAAGATAACTTGGTCATAGAGAACTTGTCCGACAACGACACCCTAGAGAGTAGCATTCACACGGTCGGAAATGACGTCTCAATGGAATCAGTATTTTCAAATTTATGTGATTTCTTAAACGACAAAAGCCTTCCAGGTGCAAATGACAACATGAAAGCATCAAGGAGTCAACCTACCACGCCTCTTGACTACAGTGAATCTTCTAACAGCAGTAGGGATCCAGTTGTCTCAGCATTTGCCATCTCATCAGTATCAAAATCATATCCTTCCACTCCAAATACCGGTTCTACGCATTCGTTCAACGGAGTCACTGCAAATCTAAACTCTTCAGTTAAGAAGAATATCAATCCGATGCTGGATAATTTGTCAATGCCTGTTTCATCATTGTCAGATGATATTGATTTACAACTGAATAATTTTGCTGATCTGTCAGCCTGTGATGATGCATTCAACCAACTGGCCAAAGAAGTGACCAGTTCTAACTCGGACAAAGAAGTGTAGTGAGTTAGTTACTTTTGCCATTTTATCATTTAAGGAAAAAATTCTCGTTGTCACTGTGGTAAGACCAAAGACCAAGGAATAACATAGACCTGTATTACCTACTCTATACACACAGTAGTGATGTGTCAAAACCAAATCTCAAATCCATCAAAACTTGGGAAAAGTTTCGGTTTCGAGATTCGATCACCGAGTTTCGAGATTCAAAAGTTTCGAAATTGAAGATTTTTGCAGTGTTTTTTGAAACTGCTGAAATTATTTTGTGTCTTTATTATTGTTTTTAACACTGTTCCTCACAAGCTCGTAGCAATAGACAAACATCACCATCAACAGTAATGAAACAAGTAAATTGTAGGCTAATCTGAACTTCAAAAGGCATCTTAAATACTATAACTGGAAGGATGTGCGATTCAGTTTCATATCAATATTTATTAAACCCAAAGAAATATTGACAACTATATGATCTAATTAATCTAATATTCATATTTATGTTGGTGTTAGGAGTTTTATTTATTTTCATGTTGGTTGTTTATAAAAAAAATATGTTTTACAGTATTGGGTTTTATTTAAGATCATCAGTCACATATTTATGATATGTCAGGGTCAGGAGTCAATTTCTTTTAGTTTTGATTGCATACTTAACATTTTATTATTACCTGTATTTTTTGTAACCTTGACCTTTGTAACCAGCTAAGTAAAAAAAGTTTTGCGTTTAGATTTTGAGATTCAAGATTCAGGATTCGATTTTTAAAAGTTTCGGTTTCGGTTTTGAAAAATTTCTGGTTTTGACCATCACTAACACACAGCCACACAGTTAATGACAGAATACATTAAATTGTTATCCTTGTGGTGAATAAGTTAATAAAATTGTTTAGTTTGATTCTTTAAATATTTTGATAAAATGTGATAAAACTCCATTATGTGATTATAAGCTGTTGTTATGTAACTGAAAATTACTTTTAGTCTTTGTTGATGCAGCAAGCGTATGTGCATTTTCAGCTTAGTATTTGAAACTGATTGACAAATAAAATTGTTATTTTTTATTATTTGTGTTATGAACTTGGATTGGGAAACAAAACAGTTGCATTTTCTACCAATGTCAAAAACTTGCTGTGGACTAACAGTTTAAGTATTACTTTTCAAGCAAAACAAATATATGCTTGGTGAAATAAATTGGTCCCTGTTTTAAATTCTTTAACTATTGTATCACATCGTAAAGCATTCATTTGCTCTAATGTAGCCGACTTAACAATCTTTGTCATCTGTTTGTACAGTTAATGAGAAAAGTAGAATGTATTAACGTGATTTGCGACAAGGTGAAATGGTCCTACGAAATTTTGATAACCAACATACATAAGTCCGATATAACAAGTATTTGTTATTATTACCATGCAATGTGCCAAAATACTAGATGAATGATTATAATTAACATTTTAATTGTACCATTTGCAGTATATTGTCAATTATAGTTTCTTGTTTTTCCTATCAATTACCGTGGATTCCTCACAATTGGTAAAAAAATGGCCACAATCCACTCTATCACTTCCTAACTCAATATTTTTCTCTTTAAACAATCTATGTTATATAATCAGGGTCGAGCAGTAAATTAACGTTTTCTGAATTCCCTTGAAAAACATTCAATACATTGTATCATCAATTAAATGTTGTTTCTTTTATAAAATAATTAACTAACTATCTTCAGTTGAGTTAGCTGTGTCCTCTCCATCCTATATAATACTTTGGTTTTTCTTTAAAAAAAACCTGTTTCTTCTATAAGTAACTTATTTCATTCCTTTTTTGATTCTTATTTAACCAAGACCCACTGCAGTGAATTTTCAAACTTGTTGGTGTTAGTTACATAAATAAAGTAAATATTCTGAACACTGAAAAAGTGGTCTGACTACTGGAAGTCGTATCATACCCTCGTTTGTTATTATTGTCTGATATCATGGTGGATTTAAGAGTAAGAGAAGACTTTGTTGAAAAACTGGGCCAATTCCTACTAATTAATGTGTTTTGAACAAAATTAAGGTTAAGAATAATCATTATACTGGAGTAGAATACCTACGGGTGTTTATACTTTATATCCTATTCAATAATTTAATTGAAGCATCCAAATCTTAAAACTCATTGTGCTATGGCAATTAAAACTTTTATACATGTCAAATACTAATCTTTTGATTGAGATGTACTATAAAAATACTCTAAGTCGATAGAATGATAGTTTGCTTTGGGTATTTGGGTAAAACTAAAATGTACTTGGACCATTGCATCTGTAAATGATTGTGACTAAAATACAAACACAAAATTTGGAGAGTGATATAATTATTTACAATGTTGTATGACGTTTTTGAAGATGTGTTTTCTAAATCAAGTTAAGACATTCACTGTAGCTTTGCAAGAAAAGATTTCCATCATCACTTTTTTTCTTTAAGATCGTGTAGTTTATAACAATAGGCTAGAATTTGTATTACTGTATATAAGTTAAAATTTAATAATTCTTTCAAACTGTTTCAAATTCAATCCATTTGTTTCTTTAAAATATTCACCAAGTCTTAGCCACAAGTGGTCTTGACTTGCGTTGTTTGGAGTAGTGTTAAAGAGGCTGTAATCGTTTTTAAAAGCAATTGTTGTAGAAATACAGTAAAAGAACACACTGTTGAAGAGGCCTCCATACAGGGTATCTTCTATGATTGGGACTCATTGTTCTCGATGTTCAATTAGTGATCGGTTCTTGCCTTCATTCAATATTTTGTGTAAAAAATCAAATGGTCATTCGAGTAGCTCTAATAAGAATATAGATGTATACTAGTGTTCTGTAATATATTTTTGGTGTATAGTTGTTACATATATATGATTGTTGTTTACTTAATTTTGTTTATGAGGCACAAGTAGAATGTGTATGACACATCTGTTATCTAAGACTGAATGCTTTTAATATCTCTACTCACTGTGCCTCAAGCAAGAAAGGTCTTTTTTCATTTTTTCTAATACCAAAATACATTTATGAAATATTGTTATTTGTGGGTACAGTCACATTGAAAGAAATTTGTCCATGCCAATGCCCTTGGGTCTTGGCACCAAGTACAGTAATGAGTTAATGAGTAATGGGTTCATGAGTTGAAATTGTTATAAAAATGTGTGTTGTCAATGCCAAAGCTATATACAGCATATAGAAATAAGGAAAATTTACAGCTTTGTACTATAATAAAATATTTTCCTTACTTCTATGTAGAATCAATTTTACTTCAAATTATTCCTTACATTTTAAAATCTTAAACATAAGTTCGCATGTCAGGTGTTTGTATGCCCTTCTGTTTCCCACATTCCATGTTATAATCTGCAGTTTACAATCATAATTATTTATATCTTCATGGTGAAGCACCTTAGGTATATTTCAAGCCAAGCGTGAGTGAGAGATAGATGAACGATGGGTGTGATGTCTGTTTAGAAGCCTGCAAAGTTCAATGTTACGGATATAAAGTATGATATCCAACCAAATAGAATCAAGTGAATATTAGGAGCATTTACTTAAAACCTTGCAAATGCCTTTAGTATACTTTGTCCTCAAAGCAAATGTCAATGTCTGTAGTATACTTTGTCCTAAAACTTAATTATTTCTATCATAGGGTTTACAGAACATATGAAATACATGGTGATAACAACCTCCTCTCTTGAATGCGATGCAGAAGCTAGGAAGTTTCTTGATACTTAACATTTTTGTTTTGTGTTCATTCAAGAGAACCTTCTCCATGCTGAGAGAACTTTACGATTATTTAACAGAAGACGTCAGAGAGAACTAACAGTGAAGACTGCATTCTCAAGATGAATGCCAAATTGATATACAAAATAAAAGAGGAATTTCTGCATTGGAGTGATATAAATAAAACATTAATTTATGTAACCTTTTATTTTTTATAGATCGTACTAGTGTTACAAATTTAGTTAGTAGTACCACTGCAAACGTGACTGTCCTGCATTTAATAAGGCTTTAGGATAAAGTTAAAAATCAACATTGAATTTCGTAACAAAATAAGACTGTTGTTTTCGTATATAAAAATTTTCCCATTTAATATAGTGTTATAAAAAAATAATAATTAAATATAACATTTTTACTATTTGAAAGATTGTTATTATTTCAACACCCTTGTGAAGTAAATATTTATTCAGATTTAAGCTAAATACTAAATAACATGCAAAACATTTATTTATGATATCGAAAAGGTGGGACTTGAGTTGCATCAAAATTAATAGCACTGGGGAGGTTAGGAGGCTTTTGCCACAGACAATATAATACTCTAATGTTTACTAAGGTTTATAATACTCTAATAATCTAAGGTTTACTCCATTGTCTGTGCTTTTGCTCTTGACATGCTCTTTTATTATGTGTCCTCGAAGAATTCTTTCTGAATCTGTTACCAGCTTATAAATTCTTATTTGTTTTTGTAACTCAGAAATTTCACTGTAACCTAATCACCTTGTAAAAGTAACATATAAATTATAAGATTAGTAAGGTTTAGGGATGGACGAAATTGGATTTTTAGTTCGAGACGGGATTTCCCTTCTCATACATAACGGGAAATGCACGTTCCACATTTTTACCTGTTTTTTTTTACATTTTTAAATACCTACTGATTTAAGACCGACTGGTTGGATACAAAAATAATAATAATAGGCAAAACTATTTAAAATCTTTTATTAAAAAACATTAATAAAAACATCAGTATATGAAAAAAATGAATAAGGCCTAACTTAATAAAAATAACTCTTCGGCATAGGAAACATGAAGATATCAGTTAGTATATGGCTCAAATTTGAATTTGGGTATCAAGTAACAATTTTTAAGTCTTGCGTTATTTTTAGAAAGATTTTGGAGTGACTTATTTTGGCTATGTTTACAGTAGTAAAACATCTCTCACACTGCTTACACTATCAAAACTTCTCATCATTTGTTATGTAAAAAAAAATTATAAAACAATTGAAGCAATATTTCCATGTAAAGAATTAAAAATTAAAGTTTTTAAACTATTTTAAAATCTTGTCTCAAAAAAATCTCAACAAAAATAGAATCTTGTCTCGTAGAACAAGATTTAAATTTCCCAATAGTTTCCTGAAATTTCGAGACCTGTCCATCCCTAAAAGGTTACATTTTAATTACCTATAATCAAAACAAATCAAAGCACGTTAACACTAGTTCTTCGAAAGGCAATCAGTATTTCTTATTATATTAATAAAACTTGTTCCTGTATACCAAAAATCGTTTGTGTGTACCTTTCTTGCTACCATTTTATTATACATGACCTTTCGTCAAAATGATGACCTCCAATGAGCCGTCCTATGGACGGGTCCCGAAATTTCGGGAATTTTTCGGGAAAAAAATATTCCCGATTATCGGGACGGGATTACATTTGATTCGGGAATTTTTCGGGACGGGATTTAGTCCGATCGCCGGCGATTTTGCCGCTTCGCGAGTGCCGATGACGCCGCTATTGCGAGCGATAGGTCCGCGAACGCAGGAGACGAAGTCGTTTCGACGATTGCGCCGTGACCGCGGAGTCATAACGACGATCGCGCCGTGACCGCGGAGTCATACCGACGATCGCGCCGTGACCGCGGAGTCATACCGACGATCGCGCCGTGACCGCGGAGTCATACCGACGATCGCGCCGTGACCGCGGAGTCATACCGACGATCGTGCCGTGACCGGGGAGTCATACCGACGATCGTGCCGTGACCGCGGAGTCATACCGACGATCCCGCCGTGACCGGGGAGTCATACCGACGATCGCGCCGTGACCGCGGAGTCATACCGACGATCGCGCCGTGACCGCGGAGTCATACCGACGATCGCGCCGTGACCGGGGAGTCATACCGACGATCGTGCCGTGACCGCGGAGTCATACCGACGATCCCGCCGTGACCGGGGAGTCATACCGACGATCGCGCAGTGACCGGGGAGTCATACCGACGATCGCGCTGTGACCGCGAGTCATACCGACGATCACCCCGTGACCGCGGAGGCATACCGACAATCACTCCGTGACCGCGGAGTCATACCGACGATCGCGCTGTGACCGCGGAGTCATACTGACGATCGCGCCGTGACCGGGGAGTCATACCGAAGATCGTGCCGTGACCGCGGAGTCATACCGACGATCCCGCCGTGACCGGGGAGTCATACCGACGATCGCGCCGTGACCGCGGAGTCATACCGACGATCGCGCAGTGACCGGGAGTCATACCGACGATCACCCCGTGACCGCGGAGGCATACCGACAATCACTCCGTGACCGCGGAGTCATACCGACGATCGCGCCGTGACCGCGGAGTCATACTGACGATCGCGCCGTGACCGGGGAGTCATACCGACGATCGTGCCGGCACGCCGTGACCGGGGAGTCATACCGACGATCGTGCCGTGACCGCGGAGTCATACCGACGATCCCGCCGTGACCGGGGAGTCATACCGACGATCACCCCGTGACCGCGAGTCTTACCGACGATCACCCCGTTACCGCCGTCATTTTGACGATCGCACCGTGACCGCGAGTCACAAGTTTCTATAGGTACCTGAAAAATTGTTACCCATTTTTTTGTTTTTATAGATCAGTGCCACAAATGGTAAAGATTGATTTCATATGCCTTTTTTGGTAACTGCAATACTCAAGACTTTCTTTTTATGCACAGAAAAAAATCCCGTCCCGTCTCGTCCCGAAAATCGGGAAGGAAATAAAAATCCCGTCCCGTCCCGTCCCAAACTAAAAATTCAATCCCGTCCATCCCTACGTCCTGTAATTCAATTGGATAAAACCCTGAGTTATATTATTGAGATTAGTAATTATTTTATTTAAACCCCCTATTAATTGAACTATGTTTTGTATTATTACAAATTTTGAAATATATATATATATATTTGTATTAAGTTTAACTATAATACAACTTTTGAATAAATATATTAAATAAAAAAGGTTGTGGAGTGCTAAAACATTGAAAATATGAAAACAATAGGACAGCAACTAGAAAAATATTATTATTGAAAGGAATTGAGAGTCTTACGAAGGATGAGGTGGGATAATTAAGGTACTGCTCCAAGGGGAAATCCCGGAAAATGTAACTTTAAGTCCTAGGACTCTGAAAGTGCAAAACACCTAAAATAAGCGTCAAATCTTGCAGATTACATTCTTTGTAGGGTTATATTTGAACTTAAGGAATTTATTTTAAATTTAATTACATCACCACTGTAGTAAAATGAAATAAAATATAGCCTTTTGTCATTTAATTAAGTAGGCCTAGTAAGACAGAAGAATACAACCTACTAAAATGTATAAAAGAGTATTGACACTAGAATCATACAGCAAGAAATAAGATGACAACCATTGCCACTGTAAACCAGGCTCCTCGAGTGTTTGTTTGAAAGCCTCTTTAGACCGGTTTGGGTGAAAATATAGTGGAGCGGTGAGGTTAGAGTGTAGCTGAGCGGATAAAAAATAATACATGTACCTAGGTGTGCCAAAACATAGTGGAGCGGGGAGCGTAGCTATGTAGTTTCGCCACTCCGATATTCTACCCCGATTTCTGTACCTCGAGGGTTTGGTAGAGGGTTGAGCCTCAGCGGTCAAACCGACTACATACATGGTTTAAAAATGTAGTTTTATTTTGTCAGTTCCTGAATCCAGTCCTGTTTGGGACTAGGACTAATGATATTACTATATTAAAAAATAATAAGGTGTAATTATTCTTGTCAAATAGGAAGGTAGAGTCTCCCCTTAAATGACACATTAAAAGTATGGAGCTTATAATGTAAAGAGTCCTTCTTTTTTACACAATGATCATAAGTTTTTAGAACTATTAACTTATGCAACTTTTTTTTCTTTGAAATATTTAAGCAGTTGTATAGCCTAATAAATGACCACTTTGCTGTATTTTACTATTTTCACCATTATTTGGTTTCTCTACAAAACCAGTACATTTCACCCTCATTATAGGTGAAAATAGGGTTTATGTATACAGTAGAACCTCTTTAATCTGAACCCCCGTAATCCGAACGTCCACTAATCCGAACCCCTCATTGCTGTACACTATACACATTATAGCAGTTCTTTATTGTATACTGTACTACTTTATTGTATATACTACTGTATTAAATAAACACTGTATTTTACTTTATAAAAATTTTTTTTACTTTTCCCAAAATAATTTTGGTCAATTGTAGCCATGTTTTAGCTATTGTTATGTAAAAACAACAATATGTTCTGTAATCCGAACTATTCAATAGTCCAAACTACCCCTGGTCCCAATTAGTTCGGATTAAAGAGGTTCTACTGTATTCAAAATTAATGTAATCCAGCCTTTTGAATATTTACTACCGTCGCCACTCCACTATGTGCATGTGCAGCTACACTATAATCGGGGGTAACAAAAACTCTTAGCTACGCTCTCTGCTTCACTCTAGCCTCGCTGCACCATTATGTTTACCCTTAGGCGGTCTTCAACCCGGTTGTAGGATTAAAGACCCCAGGTAGGCAATGGTACAAACTCGTTGTTATCATTACTTTAAAACGGCGCACACCAAGGTGTTTATTTTAAGCTGAATATGCTAGGCGAGGGAGATGATCTGTTACTGACAAAGATCAGCTGTTTTTTCAGTCATGATCAATAATCATGCAAAGCCCAATCAGGGCTGCAATTTCAAACCATCAAAGAGCTACTAACTTTTCTCAGGATCGAACCGGCGACGTTATGATTGAAATTTGAGCACTATAACTACTCAGCTATCCAGCTTTGTTACTGTGTGTTGGATTAAGGACCACTGGACGGCAACGGTACAACTCAGATCGGTCATTGAAAAGTTGTTTAATGTCAAAAGCCTTAAACGATTACTGTGAAGAATGATATGCAAGCACCTTCCAGTCATGTGACAGCACTATTAAATATAGAACCTTTTTTCATAAATTTCCATTATTTTGATTAATAGCAAAATTACCTAATGGATTCTGGGCAAATTTAAATAAAATAATAAATATTTACACAAATCATGTTTATAAATATATATATTACATTTCCAAATGTTACATAATACCAATGTTGACAAAACAGCCAATTCAATATAAATAGTAGCCTATAAGTATAAATAGGGATGGGTTTTCCCAATCTTGTTTTAGTAAACACCATTTCACAATAAGAAATCTTGATTTGTGCAGGTCATTTTGGAATGTAAGAACACATAAATTAAAATTATCAAACTTAGAACATTGATATTGTTCTAGCAGGAGCTTGATGAGCAAGATTAAATTAATGATCAACATATTTTTTTTTAAGTACAACTTTGCACTTTTCTTACAACAGTAAAACTCCAATTATTTGAATCAATGGGACCATACCATATTCAGATACTGTATAATGGATTTTTACCGAAGTTGAGGGTATTTTATGGAAAATACTTAATTTTTGGTACTGTATAAATTTTTCATTGAATTAATACAACCTACTAAAATGTATAAAAGAATATTGACACTAGAATCGTACAGCAAGAAATGACACTAGTCATATATGCTATATATATATACATAAATGCTATATATGCTATATATGGTATGATAACTTGTAAAATTAAGTTAGAACATTTTAAAAGATAATATTACACATACTACAAGTGTTCTGTGTAAGTTGTTTAGTAGAGGTGTGCAAGCTGATCGATTTTCGAGACTAGACAAGCCCACTTCAAGCTCAAGTGATTGAGCACCAAGTACAGTAGAGTCTCGGTTATCCGGCCTTCTTGGGCAATATGTTATCTAACGTGATTTTATGCAGTAGCTGTTGCACAAGGCAGCCCTTTCGTCACATCCGACTGTACGCAGCAGATGCCCGCACATTGTTTATGTCCACACGACTGCAGGAGATGTCCAGTATTTTGCTGTCATCATTGCTTTTGCCTTATTAAACAATGATGTTTTATAATATTGTGCACTTTTTTACTGCAGTTTTTGGTTTTGAAGATTTTTCTGGAAGCGATTTGGATAGTAGGTGACCAGATAATTGGAGTTCTACTATATATAATAAACTTTTTTACGTTAAACATATAAATTTTTTAAATTGTTTATTTAATCAATTATAATTTACCTTAAAATTAGTTCAACAGGTTTACTGTTTTCATAAATATCTGTTGCTACTTGGTTTTATCAAACTAAAAAACACATCAGTTAACAACACAGGCATCAGCACCCAAATAGGAGCAAACACATAAAACATGGGCATGTGCTCAAACATTTCCAGTCTTAGACAGCAAAGAATTTGTGATGTTATCTTGAGAGATATAGCGATTATATAACAAATTTTCCTTTGAATGGAATTTGAGAACCGATCTAAGCCACTTTTGCACTGAGATAGCATGTTAAAAACAATACATAGAAGTAACATTATGTCATAAAACCAAAGTGGAAAAAATACTATAAACCAGTTCCACTGAATTCTTGAGTCAAGCCGAAGAACTAGAAGAACGAGAAACAATAGAAAAATGAACCAGGTGAATAAGGCACGATGGATTACAGCCATTCCTCCCAGTCACTACCTGTAAAATATTCCATCTTTACAATTTATGAAGACATAGCAAATTCATGTTTAAAACAAATAGCCCACCAAATATTTGTTCATAACAAGGTTGTTTAAAAAACTTTGCTTTTGAAACTTTATAGTCCAGTAAAATAAGACATTTTGGTATGCAAAAGGTCGGGTAGTTCTGATTTTTTGATATGTTGTTAGTATTGGGCCCATAACATAAAATCCAAGTTATCCACCTCAAGATACCACCGCGCACCGCGGGATATAAAAAATTTGTCAATTCCTATTGTTTGTCACTCTATCTCGCGAACCGTTGATTTTACCAAAAATTTTATATTATTACATTAAAGAAGAATAAATTGTGACAGTTTAAGCCCAACAACAGGCATATAGCGTAAATAATGGCCAAAATATAGACCTTCATATTAAATTCCATAACAAAATAAAACCAATTGGATCAATGTTATAGGTTGGTATACATGCAACAGCAACTGATCAGCTGATCGTTACATATGACTTTAAATGAAAACAAAAATAGTTTATTGTTATGTAATTGTCAGGTTTGTTGTAATTATCTGAATGTGCATGCATGGATAAATAATAATATGCCTAAAACTATCTTTTGCGTATATACATATTTTGTATAATTTTTAACAAGAGTTGTGTTTTCTCAAAGATATAGATTATTTCGGTAGTGGTCGTTTTCGCGCTGCTAAAATCATAATGTCAACCGACGCGTCCATGGATTGTGTGATAAATGAATGTTTTATATGCCACAACAGTTTGAGTGAAGGCGAAGTGAAAGTTGTAAAAGAAAGATGGATTAAGACTCTAAATACTTCTAGTGCAAATAGAAAACATCAGGCTAACGAACGTTTGTTAAAAACTGTAACTACTGTGTCTGTTCACGTTGCATGTCAATAGAAATACAATAACCCCAAACTGATAGCTGCAGCTCCTCGTCGTGGAGATTCGGGGGTTCAAAAAGAAATTGTGCAACTTCGATGTAACAGTGAGAAATTTGATTTCAAGAGTCATTGTGTGTTGTGTGCAGAAGAAATAACTGATTAATTTATCGAAGCTCAAAAGAAAACAAAAATAGGACAACGAAATATTGTGCACAAGATAGAGCTGACAAATGTAAGGGATTCTATTTTGAAAGCAGCTGAAACATGAGGAGACGATTGGGGGGAAACATAATTGCTCGCGTCAAAGAATAGGATTTGGTTGCAAGGGGTGGAAGATACCACGATTTTTGTCAAAAGAAACTATATAGGCTTCGTACTAAGACAGGATTTAAAAGGGGATATCGACCAGCAACAAACGTTGACGATGCAATGGAATACATTTATTCATACCTTGAAGAAAATTCTGAGGAGTGTCAGTTCTCCATTGAGGAACTTATAGATCAAATTGAGGGGGAATTTCGACCTGACATTCGAACTATGAAGACTCGCCTTTTCAAAAAATACGGTAAAGACATAGTGATAGCTGAAACCTGTAACAAAAAATGTATAGTTTGCTTCAAAAATGTGGGGTATAAGATTCTCACTCAGTGGTACGAAAGCAAAAAAATAGATCCACAAGAAGAAAAGTTACATGTGGTGAAGGCTGCTGCTGACATAATAATGGGTGACATTCGCTCTCAGATATACAACACATCTGAGTACACACCGCCAGACAATTGTTTGGTTGACGTGGAAACTGTAGTCCCAAATTCTCTGCTCGTTTTTTCTCCAAATGCTTATCTTGAAAAATAAGCATTCTTCTCTAGAAAGTTGGAGAAAAAAATTCATATCTCTGGCACACACCTTGATAAGTGCAGTACGGCCACGTTCTTTTATATCATCTCATCTCTATTAAATTCAGTCAGTGTATATGTGTATCAGAAGTTTGGTTCAAAACACTTAGTAGAACTGTTATCAGCCCTTGGGTTTGCTTCAAGTTATAGTGAGACCGTCATCCTACAAATATCAACAGTTGTACGACCTGAGCAAACCATGATGAATGAGGGTGCTTTTCCTCAATTTATCTTCGACAACGCAGATTTCAATGTAAATACACTCGACGACGGCTTGCACACATTTCACGCCATGGGAGGAATAATGGTTACAACTCCTTACGACTCCTTGGCACCCAATACCGCAATAACTAGAGTAACTAAGTGCAAATCCAGTGAACTTGCTAAAAAAGCTGGTCGTATTGAACTGGATTTCTATAAGAAAGTAGAAAAATCTGGATTGGAAACTGTCAACATTGCAGATGTATTCACCCCATCCAACATGATATGCTACCTAATTCTGTTCATCTCCTTTGGCTGTATGGCACATCATCAAATAATGTGAGCCTGCCAGGTTGGAATGGGTTTATGGAGGATGCTACCCAAGGTAAGCCATATGAACGTTCTAGAGTAATCTGTCTTCCATTCATAAATAACCCGCCATCCCAATTCGATACCATAGTAACAGCCATAAGAACTGCTATGCATAAGTGGGAAACATTCAATATGAAAACGTGTTTTGTTACTTTTGACCAGCCACTTTACATAAAAGGCCAGGAAATAATATCTAATAATCCTGAATTCAAGGATGTTGTTGTAAGACTTGGGGGCTTCCCCTTGTTGATGTCCTATATGGGTGCGATCAGAACCATTATGGCAGGAAGAGGTTTAAAAGAACTTTTTCAATTGATCCATGCAGTAAACAGGGTTGACAAACTGATGAGTGGGCATGCATATGCAAGGGCAGTCCGAGATCATAGTTTGGCTCATCGTGTTCTAGCACAACTGATTTTGGAAACTGTCTCCTTTTCTGACAAAGAGAAAAATGTGATAGAAAGTATGCTGACCAGTAATGACAAAACTGCTCTTCTCAAATCTGATGACATGAAGCTGTTTAAGTTTTTACTACAAAATTTAAAGAAGCTGTAAAGAAAGTGGAATTTCGTGGGCCAACGGCTAAGCTTTGGGTACAATACTTCCACATGACAACCTTGATAAAACAGTTTATTGAGGCTGAAAGATCAGGCAACTGGGATCTTCGCATTACAACCACACAACAGATGTTGCCCTTTTTCCATGCAGCAGGTCATTTTTTCTATGCCAAGTGTGTCCATCTATATGTACAAGACATGCTGAATTTGAAAGACAGAATTGATCCAGAAGAATACGAAAAATTCACTAAGAACGGATATTTTGCTATCAGGCCTACAGACAAGTTCTGGTCTGGAATTTGGTCTGACCAGACTATTGAACAGACCCTCATGAAGACTATGAAAAGCTCCGGTGGATTGACTCGAGGACGAGGAATAACAGAAAGTGTCCTCACTCGATGGACAGTTGGGATGATCCATCTTCTTAATATCTGTGAGGAAGTTGAAAAGTATTGTAAAATGACGTCAGTGACTAGTGAGCAGCATGTTGACGTGCACCCTTCTCGGATTGCTCGAGACAATGAAGATGCTGACAAGCTTATGCAGTGGTTTTCTCAACACACACCATTCCCCATAAATGATGTGCTGATCTCAATAAGCAAAGGCATAGTAGCGACGGTGGATGTTAACTGTCACTTGTCTCACGAACTTGGTTGCTAAGGCATCTCTAGAATGGTTGGTGGTAACTTTGGTAATATCATATTCAAGCGCAAAGATAAAGTCATTACACTTGCTTCTGTTAACAACACTACTACAATTCGGGAAAGAAAACATTACTGTAGATCCATTCACCCTATTCCACAGAATTTGTGAAGCCAAACAGACAGATGAAGATTTGAAAATGTTTTTCACATTTGAACTGTCACCTTTTCCCATGTCACTTTTTAATGAAACTGGAATGCGAAAGGGTACTAAATCGTCACTGTTTTCAGAGTTTACACCAATCAAACTTGATACTGTCAAAGGGACAAATCATTTTGTTGTGGTGGATGGAGGCCACTTACTTCACAAAGTTGTTTGGAAGCGGAACAAGAATTTTGAGGAGATTTCTAGTAGTTATGTGGCATACTTAAAAACACATTATGGCTTGAACATTACCGTCGTGTTTAATGGATATCCATCTGATGTGACTGAAAAGAGCACCAAAAGTGCAGAGCGTTTTCGACAAACAAATTCAAATCCCTCCCATGAGATTTTCTTCAATGAAAACACATGTCCAGTAAAGTCACAAGAAGAATTTTTAGCTAATGAAAGCAACAAGGTGCGTTTCATTGAACTCTTGAAAAAAATTCTGCAAGACTCAAATGTGACAGTTAAACAGGAAGTAGAGGATGCATACATACTAATTGTTGAAACTGCTATTTCTGTTACCTCTCAGTATGACAATATTTTCGTGGTTGGTGAAGATATTGATCTTTTAGTTCTCATAACGTGGTTAGCTCCAATGAAAGAGAATCTGTACTTCCGAAAATGTGGAAAAGGTAATACGCCTAATGTGTTATACTCCACATCATCATTCAGACACCAATTTAGTCGAATGATTTTGTTCATTCACGCCTTTAGCAGATGTTTTACTACAAGTGCACTATTCGGCCATTGAAAAAAAAGTTTTGTTCTCTTATAGAGAAAACCCAACACCTGGAAGAAAAAATCCAAGTATTCCTCAACCCTGATTCTACCAATGACCAAGTTGTCAAGGCGGGCGAAACTTTTCTAATACATTTATATGGAGGCTATCTCCGAGAACCTGAATGTGATCTCAATCACTTGCGCTACACGCTCCTTTACAAAATCAGCAATGAAAGCAAGTTCTAGTCTAGCACGTCCACCCCCAACCGTAGATGCAGCACGATATCATGCATTTAGATCTTACCTTCAGGCACAGAAGTAAATGGGTAATGAGAAAACCCCTCTTGAATGGAGCTGGGTACCTACTAGATCTGGGCTTTATCCCCACAAAATGGACAGGGATGCAGCTCCTGAATCACTCCTCAAAATGATTTCTTGCAACTGTAAAATAGGGTGCAAGAACTCATGCGGTTGCCGTAAAGCCGGCCTTATATGTTCTTCCCTACGCACCTGTTCTCTGGGAGAATGTTGCGAAAATGTTTCAGACGTAAATCCATTTGAGGAGAGTTTTGAAGATCAAGACGATACGCTAGTTGAAGAGAGGCTGTATGAATACAACAAGGATCATCAGACTCAGCTTGAGCATTTCCACCCTGACCCTTCAAAAATGCAAAAACTTTAAATATACTTTTTTTGTATTGTAACAACTAACTTACTTTTGCTGTTTATGTTTGAAATAATAGGCTCAGTGAAACTTTTGACTGAACTGTTTACTCTTAACAAGCATTGATGCATTGATTTTAAAGATATATTTTAACAATTTTGCTGAACCTCTGTAGTCCATAAAGTAAAACCCTGCAAACATACTTTGGGCTATATTTTTTCTCTCATGATTTGTTCATGCTTTCTTTTATTTTTATTCATAGCAAATAAACTAGCATAGGCTACTTACTAAATCTATATGGTGTATGCCAAGAACTATATTGTGGAAATGTTGAAAAACACAATTTTCACAAATTTTTGGAAAATGGTTTTATTTTGAAGGTCTATATTTCAGCCATTATTTATGCTATATACCTGCTGTTGGGCTTAAACTGTCACAAATTTATTCTTCTTTAATGTAATAATATAAAATTTTCGGTAAAATCAACTCAGTTTCACCTAGCAGAGCACCCGTCCTTCGTACGGGATTGGCATATAGGCTAAGTATAAAATGCTTAGTGCAGTGATACTCAATCTTTGCGTTTGCAATGGGGGAGGACACAGTTTGATAAAATTTGGTTCATACATTTATGGTTCATAGCATATAAACTAGCATACTTACTAAATCTATATGGCGTATGCCAACAACTATATTGTGGAAATGTTGAAAAACACAATTTTCACAGATTTTTGTAAAATGGTTTTATTTTGAAGGTCTATATTTCAGCCATTATTTATGCTATATACCTGCTGTTGGGCTTGGTATATAGATAGTATATAGATAGATCATACGCCATATAGATTTAGTAAGTATACTAGTTTATTTGCTATGAACCATAACTTAAATGTATGAACCAAATTTTATCAAACTGTGTCCTCCCCCATTGCAAACACAAAGATTGAGTATCACTGCACTAAGCATTTTATACTTAGCCTATATGCCAATCCCGTACGAAGGATTTATATTTATAGCTCTGCAAGATAGAGTGAAAAACAACAGGAATTGCCAAATTTTTGACATTTCGATAACAAGTGGCGCACCCCGTGGCGCGCGGTGGTATTTCGAGGTGGATAACTTGGATTTTATGCTATGGGCCCAATACTAACAACATATCCAAAAATCACAACTACCCGACCTTTTGCACAGCAACCCAATATTTTCTGACAGATTTACTGGACTATTAATTGATTTAGCTGTTTTAACTAGTTGCAATACTAACTCTCTATTGGTAGAGGTTGTCCTTGATTACTGGTTAAAAATGTGTTTTTCTTCTTCATATGGAATTTCTTAATTTACATCAAAACATTCTATCCCCATTCCATATTCCATTCTATCTTAGAGCCTCTGAATTTAATGCACAAACCTATTTATGAAACTTTTGTCAAAACACTACACAGATATGTGATTTTATCAGAAATAGATACATACCAAACACCAGACAAATTTCAATTGATTCAATCAATGAATAGCAATTGTCTTTCATCTTCATCTGGGTACGTCCAATCTTTCCAGGATTTTGACGCCATCAACTCTAAAAGTAAAAGAAACTGTTAGAACTATGCAGGTATTTGGATTTTACATGTTATTGATTGGTTATAGTATTAATTTGTTAAGCTTAAAGATTTTAAAATCACCCCTGACGACAAGTGCGTTCTAATGAAGGGTTGACCCATGCTGAGGAATGACAAATGCTACAGTATTTATTTTAGGTTTCTGAATGGTGCATCAAGGAATGCACAAACTAGTTAGAGAGGCCTAAATATTGTTTATTTGTTACCAAACTTTAGCCTACCCTACATGTAGGATATATACATGTTCATATCCCTTTGTTCCAAGTTTAATGTACCTACCCCATATAGATTAATCCTAATACTTATTTTCTGTGATTGACCCGGGTCAACAATATAAAACTATGGTAAGTTTAGGTCTTTACAGCGGTTTTTTGTTAATATATTACGTAAATATTTTTTAATCGTTCCCAAGCTTTACAAATTACGTGTAGAATACTTGTTGATATACCTTCTTTCCAAGTTTGATGTTGTAGCTTAATTCTAATTACCGGTAGCCATTTTCTTTGATTCACCCAACAACATAAAATTAGCTTTTTACAGCAGTTTTTTACTTATTTTTAAAAATTGTATTTATTTATTTCCCAACGGCATAGCCCCTTTACAGTGAAAAATAGATTTATAACAAGGAAGAAAACATTTAAGAAAACTAGCGATAGTAAAAATAATAAATATTTAAAATTAAATAGATTATATAGCCTATGACAAATTACAACAAGTGTGGTAAGTGCATGAGTGAGATGAAAAAAACAGTGTGAAATTGTACAATATAATTAACAATTAACAAATGAAGGAAGAAACAAAAATAATACAATTCTATCAAAATTCTATAGACATCAGTGACATGCTTAGACATAGACATATTTTATTCACACAAAACGTTATTTATAAAGTACAATAATTCATACATAAGAACAGGTGTTTCACCAATTTGGTGCATTTAAAAATAAAATTAATAGTTTATCTAATTAATTTAAACTCAATAGTACAAGTAGGCCTAGGATATATAGGCCTAATGAATTTTTAACCACACAATAGGATTCTCCAAATATTCTCGCAATGATATGATTTATCAATTATTTTATCTTTTATTTGGTTTTTGAATTGAGTAACATTTACAGTAAATTTTTTAGATAAGATAATTGGTGAAAATCAAGCATCAGGGGGTAGTTCATGCATGTGCAGATTCAAGGCATGAAAAGATGCGTAGCACATCTTCTGATGTGAGAGATTGTGTCGCAGAATAAGCCGCAGTCCGTCCGGAACAACACGGTTTTTAAGATGAGCTAATGGGCGGTGGAGTCGAATAACGTGGTGTAGTGCCTTCGACTAAAGAGTTCCCTATTTCTAGTGCCAGAGGGTACTTAGAAATCAATTTTTGACAGGATGTCTGGACAAAAAAGAAGACTTCTGATTATTTTAAGCAAAAGCATGAGGTCCGCTATCTCTCGGCGAGCTGGAGCTCAGAAGAGAGAATATAAACAGGAACATCCACATAGATAGTTGAAGCCAATGCAAACTCCCACTAACGGGATGAAACTTGGCTGCAAGGCTTCAAGCTGTCTTTTTCACTAATTGTACAAGGCGACCACATGGGGCTGGCGTAATTCACTAGCTGTCTCACCAGAGCACAGTAGGGTATAGGTTGTTGATAAAATATAACTTAGGTATTTTTTAACCCTTACTAAACTGTACACACATGTAGAATAAAATATACCTTTGTTCCAAGTTTTATGTAGGTATATCTAGATCTTATTTCTTAAGTGGTATTTTTGCCAATTGTAAGTTTTTGTTGACCCGAGTCAACAAAAAAGGGGCTCCCAAATAAACCTACCATAAATTTGTTTGCTCAGTTGTCTTTTGGAAGTGAGTTATTGGGTATGGTACTTAGGCTAAAGTAACATTTTACAAAATAAGCTCAAAATTTCTGATAATTTGCAGTAGGCTAGGTAAGTTATAATTTAACTGAACAAGATGCCACTTTGTAAGTATAACAACTGTATACCAAATGAATATTCATTGAAAGTTGCAGTCCAGTAAGTTACGGAGTAAATAACAACAAATCAACCCAAATATTTAAACACGCCTCCCAAGCCCACACACAAATTGGGCATCAGGCCTAAATTTCATTCACAGACGAAATATTTAGACAAGAAGATTTGTTTTTTGGGCTATTCACAGGGTACAGTTTCTTACTTACTTCATACTTCTTTTCTTCATCTTTGACCAGCAGTTGCTGGATAGATTGAGTCGGAACTAACTAAACTAATAATTAGAACTATGCAGTCCATCGTCACAAAGAAAAATAAAACTAAAACTTTAATTTAAGTACTGTTTGCATATCTACAGATTGGAGGCAGGATTTATAACTTTTTGACCTCTTGAAAAAATTCTTTAATAGAAAAGAGAGGGGTTTTTCTTAGCCATTTTTCAATTGCTCGCTTAAACTTGCGGGGATCAAGATCCTTGGTACTAGCTGGCAATGCATTATATAGTTTCATTGCTAGTATCGGGAAACAGTTTTTCTTCTTACTTAGCCTACAGAATGGCACATCTAGTTGGTCTTTACAACACCCCTGGTGTTGTAGGAGTGTTGTTCTGCTTAATTGTTGTTCTCTTAACAACTCTAATTGTCGTTCTTTAAACTAAGTTACCCTAATATCGATTGAAAATATGGATTAATAGGCCTAATCAATGTTTCAAACTATATTAGGCTAATTTTTAAATGAAACTGTTATAACCTAACCTAACTACCGGTAACCAGACTTGCTGAAAATGAAAAAAAAATAGAATGAAGCTTTAGGCCTACTAAACGAAATGATAGTTTCAATTGATATTAGAATGAATGAATGAATGAAATAATATGTTTATTTTCCACATAATGTACAGAATACAAAATACATAACTTACTTCTTAAAGTTACACTTACAAAATATAAACTAAAACTAAAATAAAAAGAAAAATTTCTGTATGCTACTAACATAATTGATTTGTTTTTTTGAAAATCCGCAGACATAGGCAAGTGCTTCCTGAGCGTCTGCTGGGTTGCTATTAAAAAAATTAGTAAGGAAATCATAATGGATACATTTGAAAATTAAATAATTGTTGCTTAAAAAATAATAGTTTAGGGATATAAGAATAATTGAATGCATTAAAAATATTATAACAAAATGAAATGGAGTTTTAATCAGGTGGGGACAACGGTTCCTGCTGGCTTAGGATGGAGGGGGGGGGGGGCAAGGGTCGGGTCAAACGCGCCGGTAATCAGCTGTGATTATAACGTCGGCCTCATCTATACCGAGCCTGAAGAGAAATTCCTTAACTCTTAGTTTGAAAACATTAAGGGAAGGCGATTCAAAAAGCTTATCGTTACTAAAATGAGAACATATATTTCGATAGAATATATTAGAAATATAGAAAGAGTTCGTTTTAGAGAAAGTATAATTTATTTGGAGTGAAGATATGCCTACTCGTGTGGAGTAATGGGTAGGCCTACTATGAGAGTGAGTTATTCCTTGAAATATATTAGTATGATTTTTAAAGATGTTTATTAATAAACTCTTAATGAATAACTGTCGAATAGTGAGAATGGACAATTCCTCCAAGAGCGTCAGTCGGGTATCGTTTGCACTTGCCAAACCCCACTTTTAAAACTGTTTTTTGAGCAATAATTAAAGGTTCGAGAATACTTTTATAACACCCACCCCATGCAATGATACCAAATGAAAGCAACGACTGGACATAAGCAAAGTATGCCATTTTTAATTCTTTTATTGATAGGATTTCATTCATCTGTTTAAAAGCAAAAATATATTTCCGAATTTTGTTTCTTGAATTTTGTTTTGTTGTTGTTGAATTAGGGTAGCCCAGTTAAGAAACTGTAACCATTCACACGATAATTTGGCCGATCATTTACAAATTAGTTAATGCAAATTTACATAAGTAAGGCAAGTAAAATTGCTCCCGAGATTAAATATTATTCTGTCAAAACCAATCAAAAGCTTAGAAACCTAGCCTGGTTCCTGTATCAAAATTGTTCTGTCTTAAAACTATAACAAGGAAATTGCTGAAACTAACCTTATCAATGTTTTAGTATGTGCTTATAAAAAAACATTCAATTACGTTTAGGTTGCGTACTTTAACATAACTTTATGTACACAATAATACACTTACTTCACCAAACATAACCTAGAAATTCAAAATTCTAATAAGAAGATTAAGATAAGAAGAAGACCAACTCTGAGATCGAGATACGACGACAATTTTAATTGACGAATGACGATCTGACTTCTACTGATTTCAGTCCATCTACTCCACTCCATTACCAGTGTCTATTAGCGTTGATTATACATGACCCCAAGGGGATGGGGAGATTATACTTAATGTACACACACACACACACACACACATATATGTATATATAATATATCTGGTTAATATCACTATAGATAATATACGAGTAAGTTAGTCCATGAGACCACTTAATCACTAAATACTGTTAAAAAGTTAGATCCTTAATTACCTCCTCTTCCTCTTTGACCAGCCAGGGCCGGATAGACAGCGTCAAAACATTAAAATAAAACTTTATTCAATAAAACACATATTTACAACTTAAACTTTAGATGGCAGGGGGGGGTTGATGCCACCTCAAAAAAACTCGTCAACCGAGTAGAACGGGTTTTACAAGAGGAGGTCCTTGATCCTTTCCTTAAATATTTTAGGCTCTAGCTCTCTCAGGTGGAGTGGCAGGGCATTGAACATATTTACAGCAACTGCGGGGAAGCTATCTCTTGTCATTTATATGAAGGCCCCACTGTAACTTTGAGTCTAGGACGAAGCCAAAAAGTTTGACAGGAGGGTCAGGAGATGGAAATGATCTGCTAAGGGTGAGCAAAAGCCTTTTTGTTTTATCTTCATTGATCTTCAAGTGATTTTTGAGGAACCAGTCCTTGGCCTCTTGGAAAAGATGTTCTGAACAGGCGACCGCCGCAGTAGGATCTTGCCCCCTGCCCAGCATGGTTGTATCGTCCGCGAAGATTAGTGTATCTTTTTCACAACCTAGGTCATTCATCAGAATCTGGAAGAGAGTGGGGCCAACTATCACTTTCACACTACTGGCTTCACATTGGCTGGGGAGGACAGTGCGCCCTGCACTGCTACCATCTGACTTCTACCCTCTAGGTAGGATTTGAAGGTCTGGAGGGCCACTCCACCGATTCCATAATAGCCGAGCTTCTCAAGCAATATGTCGTGTGAGACAATGTCGAAGGCTTTCGACAGGTCGCAAAGGACCAGAGCCATTGACTGTCTATTGTCAAAGGAGTCCAAAACCTCACTGATGAAGAGGAGACGAGGGCTGTTATTGTTGATCTCGACTTCCGAAACCCGTGTTGGGAGGCTGTAAAATAGTTATTTACTTCGAAATGGTCGACAATCTGTCTCTGTACAATCTTTTCCACAATCTTCCTTACAGTCAGGATGATTGAGATTGGTCGATAGCTTGAGGTAAGGTTTGCGTCCCCTTTTTTGTAAATAGGAATAGTCCTTGAGACTTTAAGGCAGTCTGGGAAAAGTCCCACCAGCAGACACCTGTTTATCACCTTCGACAAAGGCAGCGATATTTCGCTTATTACAGACTTAAAGATCCATGGTGGGATTCCATAGATATCAGGGCTTCTTGAGTTGGAGAAGGATTTAACTATTTTAGTTAACTCCTATTTGGTAGTAGGATTCCATTCCTCCAAAGGGGTCAGGGGCTGTACCTGGACTCTGATTTCTCCGACCCGGTTTACAGCTGCTTTTCTGCTCAGATCATCAGTTATGTCTTTAACTGAGTTGACAAAGAACTATCTGGACTAGAAAGTTTTTTGACTACTGTACTTCATTTTTCTTTCTCGAGTCATTTATCACTGACCATGCTGCCCCACATTGGTTTAGGGAACTCATCTGGATGTTTACTACGGTTGCCCTTTTTTGCCTCGTTTACCTGACATTTTTAATCACGCTTTGTTTTTAGATACAGAGAGTAAAGTTTGTCCCTTGCATTAGGATATTGTTCGGCCTTATATAGTTATGGGATAATCGTTTGCATGGATCCATATAATACGATTACGACCCCTAGCTCCCTGCCCTTTGATAGTCTTTACTTTATGTAACACCATTGATGACCATGAAATAAGAATCAATGTACACTGTACAACACTTCCAACTGTTAGCTGTTTCATGTGCTAAACTCGGCTGTTAAAAAGGGGGAATATCGTATGTTGATTGAATTTGTTTCTTTGAGATCATACCTCAAAAATTGGTTCTTCTAACTTACACAATGTATTAACATAACCCTATTGTTTGTTTAAAATTTCCTTTGGCTGAACAAATATGATGCACACTCAATTTTTATCTACTATACGGCTATTAGTATTTTTAAACGTATGTCAATGATAAAACATGGGATCCTTTTGGGCGCTGCGCCATTAAGCAACCTCATACTTTTATAAACGTTTGATTCTTATGGGTCAGCTAAAATCAGTTTTACAGTATATATTTCCGCTGTAGGAGTGCGTGGGGTTCAGATGGTCGACACCCACTAGCGTTGAAGATATGGGATACGCGGACGCCTATAATATGTAAATATCGTGTAATAGTGAAATAGAGCCGACAAATCAAATTTCCCTATATGAGGTCGACATCACAAATAACAACGACATTTTATGGCGATTTTCGTACAGTGTTAACTCCTAAACATGTAGATGGGTTACTTTAAAATGAGACACTGTACTCAGGGTTTTCCTGTTTCTCACAATAAATAATCACATTTAATGTTAGCTTGAACTATGCAATGTAACAATATAGACCCATATCCTTTTAAGCAAGTTGAGCTTCATTAAAGTACCTAACACGAACTAATAATTTGTATTAATGTGACGTTTCCTGTTTCCCTCTAATAATTTTATTCATTCTGTAAAATTGTTTTGCACTATGAATTTAAGGACAACAAGCCAACTTCATTTTAAAGGTATACTTTAAGGTATTTAATGACATTTTGAAAAAGTGGATTTAATTCAATATAATAGCCAGTTGCACAATGCAATTTATTACATATTAATAACATTCATAGATTATAAGGAACGAACACCTTGATAACAGTGGTGAATGCTGCTTCCCACCACAGATAACTACAAGACAGTCCCTAGATGGTTGACTATCTTTGACATAAACTTCTTTGTCTTAAGTGTAATCATATGGTCATACTTGTCAACTTGTCAAATGTTGAGGTTAGCCCCCCACTAAATCATAACAAACTGTCATATTCATGGAGCAGACGACATTAGTATTGAAACTTCAAACTTGAAAGTAGACTTTTTAGGTCTACTTGCTCTTGTTTTTGTTTTTTAAAATCACTTCATCGTTAAAGTAAAAGGATTGTTTTATAATCATTGAGTACAATTGATTTACTTGTTGAATTACTTCATGATGTATGTAAATGGTGTATAATAAATTAAAGTTTAATAAATTTACTGAGTTTAAAAATTGTACTTGGCCTAAGTTGCTTTAATTAATTATTATAAATAATAGCCTATTTTGAAGCCAATAACAAAACCCATACACAGAGGAAAATGATACACTGATACACTGCCGTTCGGTTCTCTTGAATCACTAGAATACAAATTAACATTTTTTGTAGCAGTCAGTCGCTTTGTTGTGAATTTCAAGATGGCGACCAGCGACGATGAACCTATGCATCTTTATGAGGTGTTTCAAAATTGTTTTAATAAGATTGCAAACAAACAACCTGGTAAGTTGCATCTGTAAATTAAATTCTAAAATTTAGTCATAAGTTTATGTTACTTTTAGACACCAAAGATACCGTGGAACATTGTTTTGATGTTGATGTGTACATCTACCCTTTTCACCTTTTAAATTTGACAAAGCTATATATTTAAAGCAAAACAATGTTATTTATGACTCAAAGGCCAGTTATTTTACCTTTTTGAACCTTTTAAAATTATACAAACTCATTTTTAGCTCTCCGGAGTGATTGCATTTATCTTGAGAATCCAATATAGATCATTGTAAGGGCACCCAGGGCTGATCCATTTAATGAGTTTTGGGATGTTGTTCATTGTTTTAGAATGTGTTTACATTGTATAAACAGATTATTTAACACCATAGTGTTTTTGTAACAAATATTGATGTCAGTTGACTAAAATCTAGTGTATTAGATTGAATTCTAAATCATATGTCATGTCAAAACATTAATTGTGGTTATGGCAGGGGGAAGAGGGGCATACAGGAACCCAGCACATAAGGCACATTTTAAGCATGGTTACATCTCTCGTATCCTTACCTTTCTTATTTTTGTATTGTTGTGTCATTTATAGGCCTAAATAATCACATATTTTAAGTAAATTAAACAACCTGATTAGGCCTACGTGGTACAAACATTCCTTTTAATAGGGTTACTTTACTTATTAGTTCAGATCTAATTTACCAGCCTTAGTCGTAATTCTGATTTTGGGTCTGCGATTGAGCTTAAGGAATAGTAGGCTAACTCAAATAAGTCAATACTGTGTGCTAAGTTAACTTAGTTCTTTAGTTCTTTAGTTCTTTCTAAGCTCATACCAACACAAGTAATTGATCATTAAATTTAATATATTTTTATTTACATATGCATTAACTTAGGCCTAGGGCTACTAATTTTAGCGTGAGCTATTTTTTGAGTCAAGATATTTGAACAATAACTTATTAGGCTACCCCCCTTCAGCAAACACAAACGAATATCCATTTACCTGATTGGATTTTCACTAAAACACTACACTGTTTGTTGCTAAAGGGAAGGTATAACTTAATAAAGTGTGTTTTTAGTTCAATGTTAGCGTAGGCCTAGTACGAAATCAAAATTTGATCAATAAGTATATAGACCCTTGACACCCCTATAAAACTCTTTTCCCATGTTGGTTTGTGAACTGATTAATATGCCTATAAATACATATACAATTTTGTACCACGTTATCGTGCCAATGGACACACTAACTCACACACACACTTCCCTGTCCTGGTGCCTCACTAACTCGACAATTTGTGGACCCATAGGTTGATGAGTTTGGGGGTTGGTGAATAATTGAGAAAAATTGCAATTTTTAATGGGTTTTAATAGACTAAATGAATAGGTACTTAACAGACTAACCTATTTTTTATTTAAATAAATTTATGAACTTGGCTACATGAGTATT